CATATTTGATTCACCAGCTTTTTAAAGGTTAACTTCAGGGCTAGGGATGTAGCTCAGTGTTGGAGCACCTGCCTAGCTTGCATGAGTGCAAACCCCAGCTTGCTCTGGGTGCAAACCCCAGCACCACCGAAAAATAAAAGACTCTCTTCATGAAATATTAACACATATTTCTCCAGACTACTTAGCATTTAGTTTCAGCGGCTGTACAATGAGATGGAAATAATACTTCATCTCATTGAAGGGTAATCCATATCCTAAGTTGATCTCAGAATAAAGTAAATATAACTTTTAAGAGGCCCCATTATAATGCATGTGTAATTTAAGAAAAAATAATAACTGTCTTGAAGGGAAGTGTTTGTAGTGAGTTGTAAACACACATTGTCAGCAGGGCTGTCTGACATACTGGAGCAGTGTGAATAGCAGGTGCTCTCAGGGTCAATCTGCCTTTTAGTGTCTCTGTGGAACATTAAGTGTAATGCAGGCTGGAGTTCTAGCACTGAGTCACATCTCCAGCCCTAGACCACTATTATATAGACATCAATAAGGATTCTCTGTTTTAGAAAATGTCTTGGCTTCAGTCAAGCAAGGGAGTATAAATTGGTACCTTAAAAAGGGTAGACAAGAATTTCAGCTCTAGACAAATAAGACTTGATATCCTGCTCCCCCAAGTTGTGTTATTATTTTTAGTCTGGATTTACACACTATGCCAGGACAGCTGCCCTCATTATACCATTGGAAGGCAAAGGAAAGATCAGAAACACTTAACAAACTAATAAACTTGTTAAAAATTTAAAATATTCGTTGCTGGTTCTTTGGAAAATGGAGGCTGTGGCTGTTTGATTCAATACATTTATGTTTTAATTCAAGGAATCATTTTACCCTATATATTATCATGTACAGTGTCTGGATAACACATGAGTTTGTTGTTGTTGTTTTTGTTGTTATTGTCATTGTTGTTGTTTTGATACAGGGTTTCACTATGCAGCTCAGGCTGGCCTTGAACTCACTTTGTAGCCCAGGCCGGGCTTGAACTCGCAGTGATCCACCTGCCTCAGCCTCCCAGAGTGCTGGGATTACAGGTGTGCGCCACCTTGCCTGGCTAGATCCTAGAGTAGGAAAGAAAAACTTTCAGCACATAGATTAGGAACAATGACAAGGTCAAGGGTAAATCACTATTATAAATGACTTAAGACTGTATGGTTCAAACTTTGTCATTTCACATGAAATAATATATCAAAAGCCCATTTCAAAGATGGACTAAATTCCCAGTCTCAAAGTAGTTGCTGTTCTTTGTCCTATGTGCACACGTTATCAATACAGCTAAGAAATAATTGCAGCCAGGCCAGGACCACAATCAAGCAATTGACTATTAGCCATTAAAAGAGAAATGTTTACTTATTCATGGCAACCAGTTTTGAAAAGGGAAAGCAAAGAGATCTGATTTTAAATCTTGTCTCTTTTTCCCATGTCTGGCCAATCAAGATTATCTACTTCTCCTTGGAAGTGTCAAAAAGCCCATTTTTATTTTCCTTTCACTATTTTAAGCAGGATACTGATAGAGAGGGAACAGCAGTTGCTATGAGGCAAAGAAAAATGTCCAGGCAGTTGAGGGCCCTCCATCTATCAAGGGGAATTTGCAATGTTGCCTCTCTTCAATACCATATAGATCTGCAGGATTTTGTGAAACACTTTACCAAAATGGAGGGATTTAAAAAGAGAATGCAAGATATAGATATAATTTTTTTTCAGAAAATCAAGATATTTTAGTTTTAGTTTCATTTCAGAATTTTCTAGTCTTAAATTCTTAAGCATTCAGCAAAGGTGATCATCTCTGGATAAGACTTCTGCAAGGGTGATTTGTGTGGACAGTTTAAATATACTCACCATATTACAGATCTCTTAATTAAACACTCTTACCAGAACTGAAATGTACTGTACCCAATTATAGGGAAACAAATACTTAGCTAATTAAGTAACAATATTTACAAGCTATGTAAGTTCAAGGGTCTCAAATACCAAACAACATTTGGAAATTGAGAGAGTGTGTAGTTAAATGTTTGCTTATCACACTAAGAATCTAAGAAACTCTTGTGAACAGAAGGCAAATTGTATATATATTTCCAGTATGTAAAAACTTATGAATAGTTCTACTATCTTTTTCTACTGACCCAATATTAAAGTACTTTCCTACTTCAAAGTCTTGAATTTATTGGATGTAGAAAGGCAATGAACAGAGCACCTTGCCTTAGTGATTTTGGCATTACCTTTCCTTTCCTACATTTATCCAGAGGTTTACATGGAACAACTTTTTGGCATCTCCAGGCTCTAGATCTTGAAGCTAATTTAGATGAAGCCCCAGAACAAAACTAGAAGGAACACTGGACTGTGACAAAAGTGCATAAGGAGGATGTCATTTAAATGAAACAGAGACGTTACAGCATTTTCTAGAACCAAGAGAGACAGGATATCCCTGGGATATCAAAAACACACCCTGGTGCCCAGGCACACTGTTCCCAAGCCAAGGAATGTGAAACTAAAAATAATACTAGAGCTAAGTCTTCCTCGGGGCACAACTGCTACATGGAGGATGTATCTCTCTGCTTTGGGAACCAACACTAAGAGTAAAAGCAAATATTTGATGCTGAAGAGCTCTTAAGGGCTGAAGAGTGCCATTTACTTATTTCTACGCGTCAGTGTGGTCTTAGGATGTTAAATAGATTAAAAGGCTAAGAGAGGTCAGTCACTCCAGGGAAGACTCTTCTGTTGCTTCTCCTGACTTGGTTCTTTTTCCAAAACTGCTATCTGCCCCACACCACTCTTGTGGAGACCTTGGCAAAATCAAAAGACGGCACATCCTGTCCTGGAACATCTCCGCTGGAGCCAGAGTCCTAGGAACCAGAAATGAAGAAATGCAGGGAAGAGGGAGTTCAAGACTGCTCAGGTAAACATCACTAGGAAGCTAGGTTTTCTTCTTAAAAAAAAAAAAAAAAAATCCAAAGAAATGAGATCCTAAAACTAGTAGGACTCTTAGAAATTACCAAATCTCTTCCGTTTCGTATGAGGAAAAAAAAAAAAGGATCAGAGTGATGAGGTGACTAGCGGCAGCTGGAGGTAGAGCTAGGCTGCAAACCCATTTCCAGGCCTTCTCCTTGATCACATTCAGACTCGAAGTTGGGCCTCTATCCTAAGGCTTCCCCAAGTCTCCACCCCGCCTTCCATTATCAGCTCCCCGCCCTGTTCTTGTCTGCAGAGAGGACAGCGCAGTCATTTCAATTTAATCTTATTTTAAAAGACATAACTAATAAATCTATTGCCAGGGCCGCGGAAAGACGGCCAGCAGAGTCGATCGTGCTCCCAATCCCATTGAACTCTATTGAAAACCATGACAACACCGGACAAGCTCCGATTTATCCCAGCGTGCTAAAGCTCATTGTGAGCAAGCGTCAATCATGCATTATTCTGGACTGAACAAATGCAAAATCTTGACTGGAACAAATGCTTCCAACAGGTCCGGGGCGTCGAGCTCCATTTCCCCTTTGTCCGCTGCCTAGCAGTTGGCCTGTATTGGGGTTGCCTCCGCCCGACCACCCAGCGCGCAGCGCAGCCCCGGGCACCTCGGGCACGCTTGGTAGGGAAGCTGCTTGGGGAGGGTGTTCTGGGCTAGGTGGGCCAAGTCGCCACCTCGAGTCAGGTTAGCTTTCAGCCTTGGCGGCCCAGGATTTCAGGTGCAGCCACCCAGCACCCCTCGTTAAAATTCAGCGACCCAACCCCCCAGGGACAGTATAAAGGACTCTGAGACCGCGCTCACCGGGGCACTAGGCTGAACCTCTGCCAGAGCAAAGCTGCTGACCAACAAAATGCATCCACACCGGTTGGTTTTTTCTGCCTGATCATTTTCTTGGTGGGGATGTGGGGACCTGAAGATCCAGGAGAAACTCCCAGACGGTCCTATTCCTTGCAGGGCGGGTCCCATAGTAATAATTCTCCAACTAGATAGAGCCAAGCAGCTTTGCTGGCGTTTACAGCGCTAGAGCAGGGGACGCAGACCACTCGCCGGCTACCGTGACCCCCTGTGGCCACATCTCAGGCCCGGGGGCTGAGGTTGAGGCTGTGGGGCTCAGGCTCACAGAGGGCGCCAGAGCGTCGAACTCCAAGGAAGCCTCCCCGCCCTCGTACGCCGTCTGTTTTAAGAAACATAACCACCCATGGCTGCTAGAATGGGCCTGGGTCCAGGTTTGCCGAGCCAGGACACTGAGCCCGATACTGCGACCCATAGGGCCCAGGTGGGGCTGAGCACTTTGGACCCGAGTAGCTTAGCTATGTGCCACCTCCGTCTTGCCAGCCTGGGCACACAGGCTCTCCACAGCTCTCACCGCTTTCATAGCACCCCTCAGGTCGTACCGGGGCGGTGTCTGGAGTTTGTAGAAGCTCCCAGTGTTCTCCGAAATCCTGGCCCTGACGCTGGAAAGGTCAGGCCCCTCTGTTCGCACCTGGAACTTCTCATCCTTAGAGGGACCTCACCCAAAACAGGGAGCGCGCCAGAGTTTTAACTCAGCTTTGTAAATCACTTTCCAGATAATTGCGGGAAACTACTCCAGTAAACAAGCTAGAGGTATAGGGCAAACAGGGAATAAATTCCAGGGTGCTCATAAACACTCCCATGCTGCCCCCACCCTTCCCAGCGTTCCCGCGGGGCCAGGTCCCACGTCAGCCCAGGAGGAGGAGGGAAGCAGCGGCTGGGTGGAGAGGGTGGTGGCCACTGCTCGCCACCCAAGATGTTATTCACTGGCAACAATCCCCATTATCTGTCCCCACTTTAGGCTAATCAGACAATCGCTCCTGCCTAAGGCCGCTTCCTACAGCCTCTGGGAGGTAACGGGGAGCCGAGGGGCGGAGAACGGGGCGGGGCGGGGGCGGAGGTGGCACCTTCCGGGCTCACCCAGGCTTTGGTCCAGCACTCATTCAGGTACTTAACACCCTGGAGACCGGGACCTCGACTTTCAAAGAGGGCTGGGTGGGAAGACCTGTTTATATAAACAGGGGCTGCGCTGTAAATGCGCTAATATCCTCCCCCGCCAGCTCATGGCCAGCGCCTCTCACTTCCACCCGTAGCAGCAGCGTCCCCCGCCACCCCCGTTCCCAGCCCGCCCTGCCCCCGCCTCCCTCCCCTCCTCTCGGCCATGGCCACCTCTGGACGCCTCAGCTTCACCGTGCGCAGCCTCCTGAATTTACCCGAGCAGGATGCGCAGCACCGGCCCAGGCGGGAGCCACAGTCACGCGCGCCCCGGGCCGACCCTTGCGCAGCCTGGCTGGAGTCGGAGCCGGGCCACTACCCCTGTGAGTGAGCGGAGGACCGCGGTGGGAGTGGAGGGAGAGCAAGACTCGGCCCCTGGCCCTTGCGGGGCTGAAAGGCGAGATCCCAGCCCAGAGTCTGGATTTCTTTAGCCTGGGAACGGAGGCTCTGCCCTCCTCAAAGCCCTATGCCAATGCGTCCAGGTCAACACATCCTGCGAGCAGCTCCCTGCACCTGGCCTCGTGCTGGGCACTTGGGTTTCGGCGTTTGGGGATTGCTGCGCGCGGAATACTTAGAGCCTTTCCTTCCTGTGTCCCCATTAAGGGTTTAATATCCCGGCAAACTGGTGCAGTCGCCCGGGAAGTGGCCTGTGTGGGTGACCCAGCTTGTAGTCACTGGGCAACCAGCACTGCTACAAGTGAGGCGAGGGTGAGAAGGCCCTGGGGTAGGTTTTGGTGGGGTACGCTCTCACGCCTGGGGATTACCGTTGTGGTTGGGAACAAGGTCGCTGAATTCGGAGAGGTGGGTACCCACTTGTGCACCTTGGGAAGGAAGTGGCTTCGCTCTGAAAGCCGCAGGCGAGTGGGGGCGCCCTTCGGCTGGCGGCTCTGCGCCCCGCCCCAGGGGTCCCCGACGCCCTAGGGGTTGGCATTTCATCCGGCTGCCTCCTGTCTGCCCTTCCTAGCCTCGGACGAGAGCAGCCCGGAGACCAGCCTGCCGGAGTCGTCGCAGCGGACGTCCGCTCTGCCCGCGTCCCCGGGCTCGGACGCCGAGAAGAGGAAGAAGCGGCGGGTGCTGTTCTCCAAGGCGCAGACGCTGGAGCTGGAGCGGCGCTTCCGGCAGCAGCGGTACCTGTCGGCGCCGGAGCGAGAGCAGCTGGCGCGCCTGCTGCGCCTCACGCCCACGCAGGTCAAGATCTGGTTCCAGAACCACCGCTACAAGCTGAAGCGCGCGCGCGTGCCGGCGGCCCCCGAGGCCCCGGACCTGAGCGCCCCTGC